TTTTTTTTTTTTTTTTTAATAGCAGAAAGATGTTCTTTACCATTGCGAAAAAAAAATATTTATCTTCTATCGTTGTAAAAGAATTTAATTCTTTTCATCTAGAAAAATAAACGTACCAGCTCTCGATAGCGCAAAGCAAATATTTCATTTCCTCCAGATCGTTCCATGTTCCTTTCGTTACACTGCGGCTAGAACTGCAACAATTCATTTTAAATGTAACTGAGAATGTCCGGTTATGTATTAATATTTAGGACGTTCGTAAAAATCCTTTTTAAATATAATGAATTATAACTTTATGCTATGATGAATTTTGAATTTTTTCATTAAGCCAAATGGGTTATATCGTCTTGTACGTGATACAAAATGAAAAATTTTCGAATCGCAATCAAAAAGTCACTAAAACAAGTGATATCATTTGTTTTATGTACAAAATTCCTATGAAATACTCTTAACAAAATAAATACCTCGATATTTTTAAGCCGAATCAATCTTTTTACGTTTTATAATTTATATTGAATTTCTTTTCTTTAATAATAGAATTTTCATTCATTAATGTTTAATATTAATTTAAGTAAATATTAAGTAAGTATTAATTTAATATTTAAATGCCACAACTGCAATCACAAATGTAGCTATAAAGTAACTAATATCTCAATCAATATCCTAATTAATTCATTAAGTATATTAATATGTTTGTTTGCTTTTATTTATTAACATCACTAGGCATAATCAAACGTCAGTGTAACATAATCGAATCTTCTTCATACATCATTTTTTTTCTCTTGTCAAACTTAATTTGATGTTACAATCAAGTAGATAAAAAACTAATTATCATCGTACGATGTCTTCGTCAAAGAAGCAAAGCGCTTATCAACGGTTAATGTTACAAATATCTTGCCTCCTCCCAGCGAAATTCCGTCCACTGTTCTTACACCCTGCAGGTTAAGAAAAATTCTTCACAACTGAACAGTTCACGACAATTTAATTTATTGTAAATACTTCTTTTAAATGTAGGACCAACTACTATATTCTTTTGGGCACCTACATTTAAATGGGGTTTGGTAATAGCAGGATTAGGAGATATGAATCGTCCTCCAGATACAATTTCTCTTTACCAAACTGCAAGTCTGATGATCACTGGCGCTATATGGTCTAGGTATTATTTAAATATTATTTTCCTCATAAAAAGATCAGATTTAAACAAAAAGAAAAACAGTCTTACAGATTGTTTGTCCATCAGGTATTCATTAATCATCACACCAAAAAACTATAACTTACTAAGCGTGAACGCGTTTACATGCATGACAGGAACGTATAATTTTGCACGAGCGTTGCTTTATAAAATACAACAGGAGAAGGCTAAGGAAAAGGATTCGAAATAATATTTCGTGAAGGATGTATATAGTATACCATAAAAATAGAAATTTATGAAAATATCTTATTTTACGTGTTTAATTTGAAACATTATTTCACAGTGACGCTGACTATTCGAATATCGTCGTAAGGTTTGTCGGTTTTCGGATTTGTTTTCACTTGACTAATATTTTGCACAACCTCCATTCCTTTTACCACTCTGCCGAACACAGTATGTTTATTATCCAACCATGGCTGAAACAAATATAAGATTAATATTATCTAACGCTAGTTTAATCTAATGTTTCAGTGAATGTTAAGTTAACATTCCGATCTATATTTAATTTTTAATCAATTTATAACAGACTATTATACCAGAAAATATTAATAAATTTCTCATGTACAACATTATACTAATTGCACCATATAATTGTTTTCTCAAATAAATTACATAAATCATTTACAAATGATAATTATAGAAAGATAATATGTAAAATCATTTCAACTTACAGTTGGCGTTAAAGTAATGAAAAATTGACTGCCGTTCGTATTCGATCCGGCATTAGCCATACTTAAAGTGTATGGTCTATCGTGTTTTAAATGTGGCCTAAATTCGTCCTCGAATTCTCCTCCCCATATACTTTCTCCGCCAGTACCAGTTCCAGTAGGATCACCAGTTTGGATCATAAATCCTTTAATTACTCTATGGAATATATGGCCGTTGTAATAACCATTCTTCGAGTGAACACAGAAATTTTCCACTGTTCTCGGAACATCTTTCCCGAAAAGATTTAAATGAATATCTCCGAGAGCCGTATGAATAATCGCTGTGTCGTAAATCTTCTGTACATTGGTAGCTTCCGTGGAGGAAATAATATCCTCTTTTGATGGTCTTTCATTGAAAACATCCCTGTCACATTCTTGACTTTTGGTATCCTCTGGTTCCCTCCTTGTGAACATATAAAATCTATTCTTTTTATAAGCTGTACAAAAAAGCGTTGGATCAGGACGATTCATTTCTAACGTTGGGTTTTCTGCAGCTTCCATTTCCACAGTCACAGCAGCTGTAGTCTTTCTGGCTTTCCCCTAAACATTTTAAAATATTAGATCACTCGACATTTGCAAAGATTGAATTCTTTTGAAATTGTCAGTTTCATGTATACCTGAAATAAAGCTAATTGCATAGGGCGAATATTTTCAGGTTTTCCCATAATTCTAATACATCGGTTTGTGTACAAATTTACGACCTTCACACCTAACATTGTGCTATATAAAATTATATAACCTGATTCATCAAAAACGATATTTCCCAAATTTGTTTCTGTTTTATCTAGTTCCCTTTCTACTGCCATTCTAAAAATGTTATTAATATTTTGATTGAACAATCTAATATATATAAATGATTTGATAATTACCAACAAAGTATTTTCACCTTCGCCCGAATTCCATATTCGGTAATTGTTGCGTCATTTGTTGCAATTCGGAAAACCTTTGCAACGTTTCATCAAATATTCTGTACAATTTGCCAGTACGAAAATTGAACACCCTAACTTTCCTATCACCACTGAGAGAAGCAAATTTTCTACCATCTGGTGATACCGCTAATCCACATGGATAAGTTTTATTTTTCGCAAATTCAAACAAGTCTGTGTCCAACTTGGAATCAAATGTAACACATTTAGGAAATTTATACTCCATTTTAGGTCCTGTCCAGTATTCCAAAATACCTGCTTTGTCTACAGAGATGCATGTTTCAAATGCAGAATTGTACTGTAAAGAACAAAAATTTATATGGAAATTGCTTAAGATTACAACATAATTATTTATTTTCTCTTACTTTCATGACAACTACAGGCTTGGTATGTAATTTTTCAAAAATATGCAATGGGGTGCTAGTTCCTTGTCCATCATAAATAAAAATTTTATTTGATTCTTGAGCAGAAACTGCTACAGCAGATATTGCATCACCAGGAGAATATATCCATTCACAACAAAGTGGTATATAATCCAATTTTATCATATTAATCATGTCTGAAATAAGATATTAATATCATCAGATAATCAAGCCATATTAATGCCACATATTTAACAAATTTTTACATTGATAAAAATTACTCGCCAAAATTTATGACATCAAAAATCTTTATTGTTTTATCTAAACTTATTGTACATGCATTAACACCATTACAGCTACCAGCCATAGACTGTATAGCCATCAAATGTGCACGAAAGTGCTTCACGAACTCTATCAGTTCCTCTTGTTTCTTCCAAAATTTAACATGACCATCGCAACTACCTGTTATCACAAAATTCGATCTATAAAAATAAAACGCAAAATTGTATCAAAATATACTGTTATTTAAGAAGAGAATATTATGTATAATGATAATAAATACAAACTTTGTTACCAGAATGTGAGTAATTACATCTCTGTGCATATAGGATTTTTCGTAACATTCGCAACATGGTAAATTATCTATATACACTTGTTCATATTCCAAAACTGTAAAATTTAATATTTATCGATTAAAATAATGCTTAGTAATCTTAGAGAACGTTCAATTAAAATTACAATCTAATCAATTTGAATATTGAAAAATTAACATTGAACGATCAATAAATGTAGTAAAACTTAAATAACAATATAATAATGTAAGGTTATGTCGTTCGTTTCACATAAATAAGTTTTAACGTTTCGTAATTGCATTTCGAAATCATATTATAATCAATTTCGTGTGATAAAGGGGAATGAAACATTAAATAGAGAAGGACAGTTTTATTCATTTTTCGTAAAATATTACACATTACAAAAAATATCAAATAGGTTATGTACATCTATTGTACGTTATATACCTTTCTGTTTCTTTTGAGGTGCAGCTTCTGAAGGCAACGGCCCGACCCAATCTTCCTCATTATCGCTATCACTATGCTCTCGTTTATTGTTTGACATTGTTACAAAAATATAAAACAAACAGTTCACTACAAACAACAGACCAGACGTCAAACTGACATCTAGTAATTACTGCTACCATAGACGAGGTATATGAATAGACATTGTATCCAATGTATTTTTTCGGCCATGGTAATAAAGTCATTTTCGTGTTACATTCTGTTGTACCGACCGCAGCACTACTAGTAGCAAAAATTAAAATCAAAAAAATATGAACAGTTTTGTCAGATCTGTTTCGAAAATTATTTATTGAATTGAATGGTACTTCATCAATGAAGGAATATAAACAGCGACTAATTGAAATTAGGATGAAGAATTTAGTATATATTTGACTATCTATTTAAAAGTATTAGGAAAAATTGATTGAAATATGATATTTTTATGAACAATATAATTAGATATGATGTATTTTAATTTACAAATTTGTAAATACATAATAAAAAATGGAATAATTTTAGATACTAATCTCGTGTTTTGGAATCTTGAGATACAATTAAACATTTTACTTGTATTATTTTACTTGGTATAGTCACAGACGAGTTTTACATTTCGATATTAAAAGTTTGACAACACCGTAATGGGTCTCAAAAATCATATTGCTGGCGCATTCACTAGTTCCCCAACTCACCGTTGTTTAAACGTAGAGTGCGCTAAAAAAAACCAGTAATTCTTTACTACGTCGGTATTTCAGGTCACGAGCCACGAAAGTTCGTAAGATGCTTGGTCTATTCATATACTTCGTCGATGACGTAATGTAAAGTGATGTTTATTAAAATATCTATCATATCATTCCTATAAAATATATTTTACAATAGAAATTTTTCTTACGTTAAGAAAGAAGTCTGTAGTTAATGAATAACTCATTACGTAAAAATAATTATATTTTTGTGTATTTTAAAAACAGCTATAATTACAATTATTTCATGCAAATACTATATAATTTTAAGATTTCCATTTCTTTGTTAATAATTAAAAATTAATTCATTAATTATTACAATCATACAATATAATTATAATTTTTTAACTCAATTGGACTAAAATTTTCGTGACTCTATAATTGTTTCTATAAAATTATTATTGTTTAATTTAATATGATGCATAATAACAAGTTTGTAATGTCACATTTAAGAAATACAAATAAATAAATGATAAGAAGTTTGACATTATATTATAATATTTTATATATTTATATATTACTCTCTGTTCATATTTTACAACCAAATTTTATACTATATCTTCACATTATAATAAAACGTATAATAATGAAACAACTAAATAAATTGAATAATTCCTAAATAAATTTAAAATACAATAAAACACGTTATACCGAGTTAAAATTTTAGAATTATATAATTTATCCAATATAGAATTTACAAAAATGTAATAAATTGTTTTCGTATATATTTAAACATTTTTTTTAATAATTAAATTTAATTTCTGTACTTAACAAATTTTTATGTATTCTAAAACCTATCAAAATGTGAGGAAGCAGACATATATTTAACCTACTCCGCTAATAAAATTTCAGTATAAAAAGGACGAAGTCGTGTAGCGTTATTTTGTTGTATATACGGATGATTTGTTTGTAATTGACTTAAAAAACGATTAATATCAAAACTTGTTGCTATTTATCTGAGAAACGTTAAAATTTATTGTACTTCCTAATATGACTAGGTAAGTCTCTGAAGTTTTAAGGTTATATTGTTACATTATGAATCAAAACATTCTAAGAGCAATTATGTTTGCTTTATTCCGACGTATTATCAACTCTACACGATCATGTTTGTTTCATCTATGATATAAAACTATCTCTAAATTGAAATTTTAAATGGTTCTGCTTTCAAGAATACTTTTATTTAAAAACGTGAAATTAGAAAATCATATTTCAGATATGAAAGAAGCAATGGATAAAAATTGTATAGAAAGTTAGTTTTCAAATATAGTTTTTTGAAAAACTGTATTTATAAGTTTTGAAAAAAAATGTAAACAGCAAGAATCTGTCAAAATTTTTGGAATCCTTTGTTTTTTTCATAGATAAAAACACATTTAAAAGTATTAATGTTACTGTGCATTCACAGATACATACACACATTTGATATCTTTATATATTTAAATAATACATGAAACAATAAATATATATGTGAAACTTACAGATCAAAAATAGAGTTAGGGGATGTAACACCGCATAATATAAAACAGCTCAAACTTCTTAACCAAGTGGTATTCCCAGTCTCATACAATGAAAAGTTTTACAAAGATGTTCTAGAAGCTGGAGAACTAGCAAAACTTGCATATTACAATGACATAGTGGTATGCTACGTTTACTTAAAAATATGAGCTTTAAGTGAAAATTATGAATAGATTTTATGAATAGCAATATTTGTTTACTTTAGGTTGGTGCAGTTTGTTGTCGTGTAGATACCTCTGAAAATTCTAGGCGTTTGTATATTATGACACTGGGATGTCTTTATCCCTATAGAAGGTTAGGAATAGGTACTGTGATGGTACAACATGTTCTAAATTATGTTTACAAAGATGGAAACTTCGACTCGATCTTTCTGTAAGTATTCAATGAAATTTATTAAACATATTAAATGCTGTTTACAAATATTAATATATAATTGCTGTTGCTATTGTGTGTCACTTTTTTTTTGTTCATAGTCATGTTCAGATAAGTAACGAAGGAGCTATTGACTTTTATAAAAAATTTGGGTTCGAAATAGTAGAAACAAAGGAACATTACTACAAGCGGATAGAACCTGCAGATGCTCATGTATTACAAAAAACTTTACGTCCTAAAACAAATCAAACGAATAATCAACAAAATAATCAATAAAAAAATCGTTAATTATTAATTTATCGCATCTCCAAAACTACATGTTCTCATAGTCTGGTAATAAAATTATTTTTATTGTACTTCCCAGTGTGTTATAAGTTATAAAATTAGAGTTTTATAAATAATTTAATAAAGTTGACAAATACGATGTACATTACCGTAAAAAATATAACTTAACAATTCCATAAATTATTAATATACATAATAAAAAGTTCATAATTTTCCAGTTATTGCCAATATTATACATATTCATTCTTTTTTTTTTTTTGATCATGTCATTAAACTTGTATCACATTTATAATACTTTATTTATGCCTAATACATTTAGTAACTTGTGTTAGCTGCATAAAATATTATAACATTGAGAACTGAAATAATCCCAAATATTTTATACAACCAATATGTCTATGGTCTTATTTTTTAAACATGTTTTCAGTAGAAAATGGAAAGCTATTTCGCTTTTCCTACGAATTGCACATTCAGTAAACGTAATACAAAGTTATTACTGTTTAAGTACAATAACTTGAGAGTATTTGATTTTAAATTAAATATTGAATTAGACTATGACCACCATTAATAAAATATAAATATAGTACAATATAATAC